AACACAATCAGCTTTTCTGATTGGTCTGGAGTCAGCGGAGGGATATCTTCTCGCGGTCCATGACTCCCCCAAAACGCGGGAAATTCCCAAAAACAACCCAAACCATGATGTATTTATGGGTACATTGCCTTCTTCCAGGCGTGGGAAACGCGTCACCCTTTTTGGTGGGGTGAGAAATTCCTTTTCCTGTAAACAACAACAGGGCCGATATAAAAATTACTGTTGTAATCCTTAAGGAAAGGCGGCCCCCCATCAATATCTTTATCTCCTAACAGAGACTCTGCAATGTTGTACTTATCCGTTGAGATTAACGATGCGTCTGTATTACATCGTATATGTACTTATATGTAATATTTAGCATTCAACGAGAGTTTGCATTGAACAAAATTCAAACGTTACAGTTTGATAGCAAAAGCCGCCACTATATGGTGCCACCAATAAAATGGCTTCTACTCTTGGGGACTTGCCGTGTCTTCAAGGGCTTAGCAGTTAATACGGAGCCTACTGGGAAAAAAATGCCACGTCGTAACAGATGTTACTGCTTTTACATAAATATCGCCATCTGGTGCTAACTTTCCTTCTTTTCTCAGACTTCAGGTCACGTCTACTTGATAAAGCGCCAGCATTTTCATGAGCTGTATCTTTATTGTGTTGCACCTCCTTCTTGAAGTTTTTGAATCAATCTTGCTATTTCCTCTTGTTTGTCCCTAAAATTGAGCAACCATTTCAGGAAAGTATGAATTGTATCCATAATGTAAATTAGTGGACATACAGATAATAATGGATACAGATAATGGTCTTAATAATGGGCAACAACTCTTTTAGGGTTACACAGTCATTTATTTTCAGTTTTCGTAGATTTTTTCTATATAATAGGCTATTATTCGTTTTTCATTGTAGTAGATTTAAGATAATGCAACTTTTTTAATTTGTTTGTAACTTAGTCAATATCGAGAATGAATGAATTGCTTTTCAAGGTGAGGATAAGATGATATGATTTAATAATAACAATTTTACCAACGTTACTTTATTAGACGCAAATGCTGTCACAAATTTCAAATTGAGAGGGAATTCAATTCCTGTAAAGCATCAAATCTGTATTATAAGCGGAGACCGCTTTATGACAAAAACTATTGCTAGGCTAAGAACAGGCCATCATAGAGGAATGAAGTTTGATAGGGATGGTAGAAGAACTCATAGGAACTGTGAAAACTGTTTATAGATACAGAGCTAACACCTGCTCATATTTTGACTGTCTAATTATTCTTACTATCCTACAAGAAATAGAGGTCCCCTGCTTTCGTCAACAATCCTCTATGTAGATAATATTGAACAGATTGCCAGGACAATCATCTGGGGCCCATGGCATTGTTAAATTTGGTCCCGTCATAGATACATCATCAACATTGTATTTCTGTTGTATTCAATGTCATTTTAAAATATTTTCCCATGAAAATCATGATCAGTCTTTAATTCAGAGGGCATCCGTGCTCTTAAGAAAGAAATTTAATTTAAACTCTTTTTATGAATATTATATTCGGCTGTGCTGCCATCTTACGCTCATTTTTCGAGACACTACTGAGTCGATTTGTAGATCTTGTCTTTCAGGTGGATTATTTGGGAGGCATGATGGATTTACATGATTAACCTTCATGTCCGGAAACTTGCATTGGTTGCTACGCCACTGACAACAACGGTAAAAAGAAATTTTCCTTATGATTAGTCATTGTGTTGTTGTTGCTACTTATGACACCACTGACAGTAATACCAGATCAAGGCTCGTGAAATTCATCACGACAAAGAGCTACATAAACGCCTATCGTTAACCATAGCTTTGAACACCATGCAGGTGATACTATGATTTGGCTCGATTCCAACCCAATTTTGAGGGAGGACACCTGTGGGTGATCAGGGGCCTTCCACCAACCACACGAGAGGACTTGCGGCTATTTAGAGTACCCTTATGCCGCAAAGGCACTATACATTTACAAACATCCATGTCTTCTCCGGGATTCGAACCCAGTCCCTACGGCACCGCAGTCAGCATCACTAACCACTATACCGGTTGGGTGACTTAGTCATTGTAACTTTTACTTTTGTCTTTCGCTAGTTGCGATTCGCATCCCACTCATCCTTCTGAAAGAGGCAAGTCCTTTTGTTGTGGAGCTTTAAGTTACATATTTTTAATGAAGTACCTTTATCTAATTATACTGTACCTCAATATTCCATGCTTTCTCAGTTGCATAATAAACTAAAAGAAATTTCTCACCGTTCTATGTTGATTAAGCATTCCATTTAATCCAGCCCTAATCGCCTCTAGATAAAAAAAATCGTTTCAAAATCAAAAAAATTTGTAAGGAACTAAAATAGATTCATTTAGAAAAAAAAATTTTAGAACTCGAAAAGCACTGACTTATTCATCTTTTGACTAAATCTTTATTCTCACTTATTTAATAGCTGAGCTTTCTCTGTATATTTAGAGAGAAAAACATCTAGAGAAACATGTCAATCTTAAAATCTTCATAGCCCATTTCTATTTCAGAAAAATGTCCAATTCCATTTATTTTTCTATGTTCAAACTTATTTTCTATGTTTCTATTATTTAAAAATCTATTTGATCTGGGGCGTAGCGACCGACGTATCAATGATACGGGCCCCCCAAGCTACAGGGGCCCCAATATATGTTACTACAGTCCCACTAATTGGGCTCTAAAAGTCTAAAAAAGGTCATCGAACGAATTTTGATACAGAGCCCCCTCAGAGCTTGCTACACCAGTGTATTTGATACTATTCATTCAAAATAGTTAATCGATTATGCTGATTTATAACTCCCTCTATTTCTTAAACATTCATTTTAGTTATATAATCAATAAGTTATTTTATGATACAGGTACAGGTAATACATTATACAATCGATAATTACGTGGTTCAGTGAAATGGTTCACAAGCGAGGAGCCTACGCTGGGAATATAGAAGCGTTATGAAATTATGAAAGTTACTTATAGGCAACAAACTTCAAACAAACTTTTATCCATAAACACATGCATATCTACACATTACCATTTGCTTATTTGGTTATATAAATTCATACAGTGTTCGGGTACAAATGACATCGACAATAAAATAGAAGCTGTACCTTTCCGGATGGATAAAATAGTCAAATGAAACCTCTTTAAATATGATTTTTTGGGGTGTTTTTTTTCAATTCCTAACACTAGTCCATACTCTCCCTATATATACACACTGGTGTGCAAAAATTAAGGACGAAGTCGAAAAATTAGCATATCAGCTGAACGAAGAGGCAGAGCGGACAGAAAGACCAATCAGGAGATTAAGTAAGGTGTACGGTAGCACATGCGCAGATATGCAGGTAGACGTAATGGGGGAGTGTCTGAGTAGTATAAAGCATGTTGTCGGTGTAAGATCAGTATTTCTGGCAAAGAGATTGCACGCAGTTAAAATCACACCGAGTTGCTGCCTCAGCGAGAAATGGCGAATAATCAATCTGTTAGACGACATCTGGATGCTTTTACCCGAGGTCGAATCATTGGGAAGTTGGAGGAAGGCCGCAGTGTGACAAGTGTGGCTGCAGAGTTCGGAATTGCTCACAGCATCGTTTCACGACTTTGGAGACAATTTCAAACTACAGGAACAACTATCCGGGGGTTCAGTAGTGGTCGTCCACGAGGAACCACACCCGCAGATGACCGATACATTGTCTTACAGGCCAGAAGAAACAGGCGGTAGACAGCGGGAGAAATCGCTAGACACACGACACAGGCGATTGGACGACCGATATCGCGTTTTACCGTGGCCAGAAGACTGCACGGTGGTGGTCTGTTTGCACGACGCCCTGTACGGTGTGTACCTTTAACGCCACCCGTCGGAGAAGGCGTTCTCTGTGGTGCCGGGAACACCGGAATTGGAGAGACAATGAATGGGGACGAGTACTCTTTACAGATGAGAGCAGATTCAGTTTGAGTAGCGATTCTCATCGCATACTCATCTGGAGAGAGCGAGGAAGCCGCAATCATCCCTCGAACATCATTGAGAGGGACAGGTATGGAGGTCGCGGTGTTCTCGTTTGGGGAGGCATCATGCTTGGTAGTCGTACAGACCTTCACATCTTCGACGCAGGTTCAGTCAACGGGACCCGTTATTTTAGCGAGATTCTTCTTCCATATGTGCGTCTTTTTAGAGGCGCTATGGGTCTGCAGTTCCTTTTCATGGACGACAATGCACCATGTCATCGCACAGTAGCTGCCGAACAGCTCTTAGAGAGTGAGGATATTGAACGTATGGATTGGCCGGCACGATCTCCGGATCTCAATCCCATCGAGCATGTATGGGATTTTCTTGGCAGACGCTTGGCAGCTCGTACCTTACCACCAGTAACGATTCGGGAGCTTCGATTGGCGCTGCAAGACGAATGGGCAGCAATGCCTCAACAACTCGTTGACACCCTCATTCTCAGCATGGGCAGACGCTATGAAACCTGCCTAGCAGTCAGGGGAGATCATATCCCCTACTAAAGACCGGATGTTTCTTGCTGGACACCCATCACAGGGATGTTTCGGCCTTCAGTCGCATTGCGCTCCATGCTACTTTTTCAATCAGGCTTCTTTTTATCCCTCTGATTTCTCTTTTAGTAAGTGTTACTTACATTTTACACATGTCCTTACGTATTGGGGATCTTACGGTATTAAATGTGTTGATTTGGAAAGCTTTTGTACAAAGTTATATTGAAAAGACCGTCTCGTCCTTAATTTTTGCACACCAGTGTATATATCTTGTTCAAATTTTCAACCGTTAATAAAATATCTTTTATTCATCCACTCAAGTTCAAATACATTTTTTTAAACTTGTAGTGGAGGACACTTGATGTTAATAGAGTTTTTTCAAATATTAATTAATTAATTCTATTTAATTAATGAATAAATAGTAACAAACAAAAGTAATATAGTCCAACCACGTATATAAAAAGGAAAACCACGTGTTGTGTCCCTGTAGCGCCATGGATAGTGTGTGTGTGTGTGTGCTTTGGACTTCTAATCCAAAGGTCGTGGGTTTGAATCCCACCTGGGATGGCCTAACTTTTGAGAATATGATTTCTTTTTACTGTGGAATAATTAAATTTAATTAATGAATAAATAGTAACAAACAAAAGTAATTGTCTAACACCATACATAAAAAGGAAAATGAAAAATTGCAAGGAAAATCGCGCTTATTTATTTGCCACTTAATATGGGGATTTTTTCATATGCATATAATATTTATATTAATTATAATTATTTAATAAAAAGTAACTAGAATAAATTTTTTCTCTGTTGCCCTAAGTCGGAATTGGTCTAAAAAAATTTTTTTGCATTATTTGTTTTCGATAAATTCCACTATAGCACATTAATAGCTCATTCAACCCCATTCAACTTTTTAATTATTCATCATTTTGATCCATAGCCTGAAGAGTTCCATCATAGCTGTATTAATTACACCAGCTAAATTATACCATGAGCTTCTGCACTTCATTTCTTTCCACCTTTTCTTCCAAATGCTACTACAACACTTCTAATTCTTTTATCAGCTTCAAGACCAAGAGAAATATTTTCTCCATTTTAAAATTGGTGATTGTCATTTAATTACAACCTTATTTGATTTTTTTACACAGAATATCAAAATAGAACGAACAACGTAAACGTAAACAGGAACGCTTAGCGGGAAAGAAAAAAAAACTTCCCCAATCAATTGTCGTTATTGATAAAACTTTTGGGCGGACTTTATTCTTATTCTTATTACATATTTCAATTTATTGCGTTATGTAATAATATATTACAGCGTGTTTTATGTTATTCGGTATGTATAATTTTGTGCAATAATTTAGAACATTCCTGATTGAATAGACCCACATTGCTTGATTGATCGTATGATTTTATGGCACCAAAGCCAAATCAGACTAAGCTGCGGCGTGAATAAGTGATTATTAACGTTACACTGTTCAGCTACAGGAGGGCTTTTGACGACGGACCTCGTAATTTTGAACTACTGTCAAGTGACGAGGACGACACCTGAGCTGGCACCACCCTCTCCTAACTAACACACCAACGGGAGGACGTTTGAGCTCTCGACAGATTTAAAGTGCATCGCTACCCTACACGGCGGGTCTTTAATGGTACTGGACTCGAACTCGTGACAAACCAGCCACATCCTATACCTTGACCACTAGGCTTCCATGGCCACGATAAACTGCGGCAAACAATGATTTAAAAAATATTAAAATTTTTAAAACTGATTCTAAATCAAAGGTAATGCGACAAAGTAAGATTATACTTAAAATGCTTCAGTAAAATTTTAATTTAAAAAATTAAAAAAGATTTTTAATTTAAAAATAATGTAAGGATTTTCAGGATTCTCGCAAAAGGAATAAAGTAATTCATTTATAAGAAGACCAGATTGTATTAAATAAATTCTATAAAATATTACAATTGATGTAAAACACCAATTGAAAGTAAGAATGAAAATAGATTTGGATGGGGATTTTTCCCAAGCACATTAGATAAAGATAAAACAGATGAACGAGAAAAAAAAATGATGAGATGAGATGATTAAAAAATGGATAATCTATTAAAATGTGATGAACAGAGTACAGGACCTTGCATTAAGAACATTCAGGAGCAATCTCACCCAACAAAAAATCCCTGTGAGTAAAACGAGTTTGACCAATGCGAAGCCGAGTCAGTCTGACATCGGTTCTTCGCATCGGCAAAACATGCCAAGCTGCAATTGCAGATTTTATGGAGTGTAGCTTGATATTAGTCAGTAAAAAAAAAATTCCATGATTTCTGCTACATTTTAGCAATACGGTGGCAGGATGACGCGCTTCATGTCACAAAGCCGAACTGATAGCAGCAAGTGTGTCGTTGCCGACCGAGCCACAATGCCCGCTTGCTCGTTGCCTATGATACCCATGTGGCTTGGTATCCAGCAAAATTTTACATCCCAACCCGTCATACAGTCTACTCGTAATGTCATATCACACACTACAGGCTGACACCTATCGCTGTAGTTCTCAGGCGCTTTCAAGACTTTTATGCTGTCAGTATAGATACAGTATTTACAGGACCTATTTTAGGCACGAATTTTATAGATTACACTGGTAGCAATTTTAAATTATTTTGAGAAACGTGTTTGTAACTTTAATTTGTTGAATTCAAAGGCGCCTTATTAAAAATATTTCCCGATATAATCGTACAGCAGTACATTCATTTCCGTCAGTTAGCTACATACGAAGTTCGTTAATTCATGAACATTTTAGTATAAAATAACCGTGTTAAAATTTATTATTTTTACTGTACAAATGAAATAAATTTAGTGGGAAATTTAACACATAATTTTTTTAGATAGTAATACTTCAACATTTGGTCCATAAATTATAAATAAAATTCTTAGTGCGCTTACAAGATGTTTCTTAGATATTTTTGTGTTCTTGTTTTATTTTTAGTGTACCACTTCATTCCAAATTAGGTGTTCACAAATGTAGGTACTTCTAAACAGTGATGACATAAATTTGGTATGATAATGTAGAAGGAGCGGGACATTTTTCTCAGGTAAATATCTCACACAAAATTAATAAGTGGAAGTTTTGCTTAAGTTTAAAAATCTTTTTCTGTTCTTCACTTTCAACCCCATGTGATAACTTTTTTTTTAATATTACATATCAAGTAACTGATATCAATCTCTTCAGATTTCGGTCTCGCCGTCTGTAAAAGATCACATGACCTGATAGCAAGTTTCATAAGATAAAATAACTACAATAAATACGAGATTTTCTCAGTGGTAAATATTTGCTCGGATGTGATTGTTTGGAAAATTTCTGAAGCACTTCAATCCCACTTCATTCGCAATCTTATACTGCGATATAATTCGTAACTTCGCATTTCATTCATAAATCTTCTGGATATTAGTAAGGATTCTATAAAGATTTGTTTTAAGTAATGAAGCATGAAAAATTACACGCAGTATATTTAAATAATACTAAAACCAAATTACTGCAACTTATGTTTTAAATTTAAACTAATTAAATAAGTATTATTTTCTTACAGATAAGAATTACAAATCAAAAATTCAAACGCATTTATTTTCTTCTATTAGAAAGTAATATATTTGAAAGTACTTGAAACCGTATAATAACCCTAAGATATGCATCATAAAATTCACTTATTTATAATTACTGATTAAACAACAATTACTGATAAAGAATTCATGCAATTGTTATATAAGTATGAAAGTATTTAAAATGATTTATAGGTAAAATAGTTCTAGAGTTACACATTCACCTGAAAATAAGTTTTAATCATATTAAACCAAAATTTACAACAATAGGCATGCAATCAATTTGATCCCCATTTTAAAGGTAATTTAAGAATAAAATGATTTTTTAAACAAGAATATGTTTTTGGTAATTTCAACCTTAAAAATTACGAGGGCTGTAAATTAAATAATGGCAACACAGGTGTAAATAATTTTTTAATGAACTTACAAGTCTAATTGCATTACATTCCTACTACATCATCACCAGCAAAGCTTTTTACGTTTTGTCAAATGCCAGAAATCCGTTGGTGACCATTAACAAGGTGTTTATTGTTGATGTCAACAACCCTACTGCACGGCGCACACATAAAACGTCATGAAGGCGGCCTCGGAGAGGTTCCTTCAACTTCGGAAACAGATCAAAGTCGCAAAGATTCATGTCAGGGGATTAGGGAAGATGTTTCATGATTTCCAACATCCACCATCGCAATAAGAGAGTGACCTTGTTTGTTACATGACAATGAGTATTGTCATGCAACACGATAGGGAGATTGTTTTGCAATAAAGGTGAAAGTTTGTGCCGCATAACCGGACGCAGATGCTGCTGTAGAAATCGGTAATAGTGGTCTGAGTTGGCAGTTTGTCTTGCAAGCTCAGCATGCATAAGAGTCCCACCCTCCCAATCGTATGCAACAATCAGGATAACCTGCACCGGCTAGGTTCATATCGAAACTTTTACGGATGTAGCGAACCTTGGTGACGCAATTCACGTTTTAATACGGGCTCATTCTGATCTGAAAAAAAACCGCTTTAACCCGTCATACAATCATCCTACACGATAATGCATTTCCACCACATGCTTCCAGAAATCCTTGACAACATTCTGCTGCATTTCTGCCACCAGCAACCTCGTTTTTAAACCCCGACGGCTAATCACCTTTTGAAAGTATGCTTAGAGCGTTGGAAATGAAATCTTCACTTTAACTCCAAACAATTTTTAACTAGATAATCTTTTGTACTCCCGACTGGGTAGCGTGGTTGGTTTGTCACTGGCCTTCTGCATCTAAGCTTGCGGGTTCGACCCTGGCCCAAGACGGCAGATTTTCATGATGCATAAAATCGACAGCGACCATGTCGTATGATTACACTACATGCTAAAAATCTCTATAGTGCCTGTTTTGGCTTGGATGCTCTCGGCAAAATTAAACCCTAATGCAGATTCGCATCGTCAGAGCTCAGGCCCCTCCCTCTAGGGAGGAAACTGGGCGGCAAAATTACCTGCAGTGATTGGTATCCGCCTGTATGGTGCCGCGCTAAAAAGAGATACCAGCTTCTAGGAATGCAATGGTAAAACACCAATCCGCAGCCTATCAGAAATAAAAAAAAAACTTTTTTCACCCTACACATCGACAAATAACCCCACCTCATCACTCATATCCTATTTGCGCATGCCTGCTGTTCTGCTAGTTTCTAGGTTAAGTTGCCTCTGTTTGATTTACATCCTTTGTGTAAAATTTATCACTGTCAACAAACATATGCAAAGTTAATCTATTTTCCTAAAAACTACTACCACCCAACAGCTAACTGACTTTGATCCTATAGTAAGTACGTTCAAAGCGTTTTATTTGCTCTTGACTTTTTGCCAAGATCCAACAGAAGTTTATGTAGTAACCTTTCGTTATTTTTGAAAATCATGCAGCCTTTTAGATACCATTAAAATACGAAGAGGTTTCAGAACGTTAGATAACAAGCACATTCACACACACAGATTAAACGTTTAGGA